AATGGCAGCGCACAGTTTTATTGTTCCTACAGAAAATTTATTCTCTATAGGCTGAGAGCGCCAGATAAAAATATGTTCAGCTACGCAAACAGTTTTTATGATTACCATTGATCCTCGTTTTGAATGGGTCACTGCACTTACGCGTTTTCCACAAATATGACAAATTTTAAATAATTGTAAAATATTCTGTCCAAAAGTTAAAACTATGCAATCGTTCAAAGAAACAATATTATCATTTGCAGTAACGTCTAGTTCTTTTTTGTCCATATCCAAATCGGTTCCTTCAGAACTTTTTTCATCAATGCTATCCGAACTGTCATCACTATCACTCCATTCAGCTTCATGAAAAGATGCATCAAGATCATTTTTTTTGTTTGTTTGTGACATAATTTTTAAATATTTCTAAGCCGATTTCACACTGTATACCAATGCCTACACTACTATTATTATTACTTTCTATATCATTTAGTTCGCTCATTTCAGAGTCTGAAGAACTATACACTTCTTTATATGCAATCTTTCTACACATTGTCTGAGACTGATGTTTACTAGTCCTATTAGTGGTTGAAGTACTTGAAGTGCTTGCTATTTCTTTATTATTTGAACTATACATTTCTTTTAATTCTTTTTTTCGCAAATAATTTGAAACTCTTCGTATTTTAGTGGAAGGTGGAGTTGATTTGCCTGTTAAAAACAATGACGGGACTGCAGTGTTTTTTAATAATGGCAACGTTTTCATGTTCGGCATTAACTTTTTCTTCAAAGAATTTTCGTAATCATCTTCCGTAAAGTGCAAAGAACAAATGCGGGTATACTTATTTGGCAAAAAATTCTGACGTTTAATTTTGACTAACCATGTTTTATAAGTTTCGGGATATTTATTTTTATCAGGAAAGGCGTGGAATGAAAAATTCTTGTCTCTTTTTGGATTATTTGAACATCCCACAACACAGCAACAAACCATATTGATGATGAGTCAATGCAACTGCAACACTACATTTACCACATTTTCAACAAAATAATCTTACTTACCATATATAAAATACACAGTATAAGTAAATAAAAGTAAATAAAGTTGTAAATGCAGATACGAATAGGTAATCTTGATTTAATGAATAATTAACCGAGAGAGAACTTGAGATGAATTGTATCGCCGTATTATGCTTCGCGCCGCCCGTATAACGGATGACGTCACACGTTCAACTAAAGACCGCTGTTTCAGGGAAATAAAACTCAAAATAAGAGCTGCCGTTGCATCCTTCGTATAATAATACGATAACAATACAAAATCTCAAGGTTAAGCAAATAAAAACAAAAACAATTTTAACTTTAGTGTGCCTTTAAAAAAAGAGAGGCTACATAAAATGTTTAAGAAAAGCGGTGATCAAACTGACTATATCAATTTTTGTGCCTTAAGAGCTAGTATCAAGTATCAGTCTAAGTTTCTCTACAAAAATTTTATTCTTTTAACAGAAGAAAAAGTTACTAATGACCCTAAATTTATTTGGACATACATGAACTCTCGTAAAAATCAGTCATGAATACCTAATAAACAGATCAACGAAATTTACTACAAGAAGGATCTGATGCAGTTGTTAATGGTTTCTCAACATACTTTGGTAGTGTATACAGGGTGCCGCATCCAAGTCTGGATATAGGGAATTAACATGGGAATTGGTTTTTATTTTATAATATCGCCCCAAATCACTTTAAAGCTATTATTGAGTGATGCCTTTGTGGAGGTCGAAGAGGGCTATCGGCCAGTATTTTTTTCAAATCGTTGCATCGCGCTCATTTACTGTAAAAAGGTTTGGAATTTTTGCCGCATGGAAACATGTTCGTTACAAGAAATTTTTGAGAGAGAAATCTAGAACATTCACTTATCAACATTTTAAAATATTTTTCTGTATTACGAATGTGTTTTGGGATTCAGAAACTTTTGTATTACTGTTTTATTTGTTTATTGTGTTAACAACAACAAAAATAAAAATAATATTTCACAAAACAAAGTTACATTTATTTTCAAAGATAATAAAAATTACATAAAATCAGGTGGTGTTAACAGGTGCATGTTTGGCGCCACAATTTGAATTATGCATTTAAGAACTTTTACTAATTAGTTACTGTTGTAAGGGATGCCGTGTCATTGGCACCAATCAGATTATCTCAAGCTCTGTACGATCCGTGGTAGAAACAATTCACTGGCTCTGATTCTTATCAGGTGGGCACGACGTCTTCTAGGGATCTTAAACAGATGGGATAGAAGAGTTTCAAAAAGCATCATGACAAAAAATTAAAGCCTGAGGACTACTCACGTATGGAGTTTTACGAAGGAACGCTTGAGAAAATCTAGGCTGATGGAGAGTTTTTGAGGAACATTTGTTTTTGTCTTAAGGGAAGATATAATCGTCAGAACGATCAAATTTGAGCAATACACAATCCTCACGTGGTCGATGACCATCGTTATCAATGGCGTGCAACTGTCAGTGTGTGACTGGGGCTTCTAAGACATCATGTCATTGCACCTTTTTTCATCGAATCTGGATTGAATGCTCAGAAGTAGGACAATATGCTAGATCAGCAAATACTTCCTAGGACTCGAAGGGTGCGGCATCTGCAGCAGATCTTTTAGATGCAGGATCAAATCTCCAGCCATACAACTCGCATAAATGTTGTTTATTTGAACCAGTATTTTACCGCAATGTTGGAATGGAAAGTGCACCGCCCCATTGGCCTGTGCATTCGCCAGATCTAAACCCCTGGCAATTTGCTCTTTGGAGATTTCTTCACGAGCATCTGTATTTGAACAATACGAGCTATACAAACAGAGACCCGCTGAAACAAGCAATCCAGCAATATTGTCTTCAGATTTCAACTCAAATGCTAATCAACACGCGTAGGAGTTTTGAAGATTGGCGTACTTACTGTACGGCTGCTGAGAGCAGTCTTTTTGAGCAATTCTTGAAAATAGTGCAATACTTCTCCAGATTCGTACAATATTTCATTACTTCATTCATCAACAATTGTTAAGTTTTGTTATTTGTAGTTATCTAAATGGTTCATTAAAAGGTTCTCTTCAAAAGCGCCAGCTCTTTTGATGGTAAATCTTATCATCACACAATAAGAAAAGCGGGCCCTCGCTTTTTCATCTAATCGCAGTAGAACATGGCATTTTAATGAGGTTTTAGTAATAAAGACTCGACCAGCACCACCAACATAACCTAATAAAATATTTTGTGCAGTTTGTGCATTTATTCCGTTTAAATTGACCGACAATAATAACACTAGTTTACAAGGTTTTATATCCAAAGACAAAAATAGCTGAATCTAAAGGATTTGGACTCGGGAAATTCAAATCTGAAAGCAGAAAAAATCTATCACGTCAGGTTTTTGAGATATTTATATAAACATACCCCGTATTTCTTTTCTTTTATACAACTCTTGTAACGTTTTTATTTTTAAATATATATGAACATATAGTTCTTTGAGCAAATTTGTATCATTTTAAAAGAGCATTTACGTAAATAAATAACATGAGTGTCAATTTTTCAAGCTACTAGATTGTCATCAATGTTTTATTTAAAATTTTTCAAGTATTGATTTTAGAATAATTGGTTGTTTTTGATTTTTCTACGGGAAGTGATAATAAAAATGTGAGATTGGCCTCACAAACATCTTTTAAAATGATACAAATTTGCTCAAAGAAATACAGGTTTATCTTTAAGAATAAAGAAGTTACAGGGGTTGTATCAAATAAAAGCAACACCCAGTATATATTATAAACATTACGACTGAAAATTAAAAATTATAAACAGTAGCTTTGCTTTTATTTACAGTACTGACAGTTTCCCTTATAATGGACCAACAGTAACACATTTTCGTCCCAAAATCCTTGATACCTTCTTTTTAAGCATATTTGAACAGGTCTTGCTTTAGGTACTATAATTTTACATAAACGTAACAAAACTGATTTGCACTTACTTTGCACGATCTCGAAGACATTTTTTATGTGACAATGGTGTATTAACATGAATCAGTTTGACACTAACGTGAAGGTAAGAGCAAAGTTCATTATTTTTGATTTATGAAAAAACCTGACGTGATAAGGATAATCTGTTTTTGGATTTGTTATCAGTAAGTAATTTAGAAGTAAAAAATATTTTTTTTATTTTTGGATACGAAAAAAAGTTTAAATTTGTAAACTAGTGTAATCGTTATATTGGATAAAATAATTCAATTTGAGTCGTTCAGTGATTACTGAGTGAGGCAGCGCGAGTACATCCCGAGCTTCTTCTTCTTCGTCTTTTCGGTACGAATGTACATTCCTGGCTTGAAGGGCTCCCAGGACATGTCAGAATGCTGTCGATGAGGTTTACAGGAAGACCAGCTGCTCGAAGTCTTCATCTCGGGTTTTTTGGATACAGCCTGAGTGTAGTTCGAGATGAATCGTTTGACGGGGTCGCGCACTATGACGAATAAATGGATCAATTTGTGCATTTATTCCGTTTAATTTGTCCTACAATAATCATCACACCGGATAAAATAAATCAGTTTGAGTTGTTCGTTGATTTCTGAGAATAATTTCTAATTTCACTTTGACATTTGCATTTTGCATGGCTAATCTGAAGACGCGATCGCCGAACTTCGACCTTGCGACGGAACATTTCGCGACAACTCGGATCGGGCGCGAATTTCAAAATACGATTTTTAAAACCTTTTTACAGTAAATGAACGCGATGCAACGATTTGAAAAAAATACTGGCCGATAGCCCCCTTCGACCTCCACAAAGGCATCACTCAGTAATAGCTTTAAAGTGATCTGGGGAGATATTATAAAATAAAAACCAACTTGCCATGTTAATTCCCTATGTCCAGACTTGGATGCGGCACCCTGTATATAAATTCGATAGCCCAGAACAATGGAAATAGAATATATATAATACTGGTTCTACTTCCTTTGAATACGAAAAAATATAAAATCTATCTGTGAAGAAGCCATAATGGAGGCGATCTCAAGGCTAAATAACAAATTAACTTCCGGTATAGACCAAATTCCAAATTTTATAATCAAAGACTGTCGTTCAGTGTTTGTCAGACCACTTTATATGTTATTCAATCTTTCTCTAAAAACCAGAACCTTTCCCAACATTTGGAAGCAGGCTCGTACATCCCAAGTTTTTAAAAAAAGTGATCCGACCATGATTGTTAACTATAGACCGATTTCCATCTTATCTAATTTATCTAAAGTTTCCGAATCTATATTAGATAAGTACATCTACAATGCTGTTAAACTGAATATTTCTACTTCAGAGCATGGGTTTATGGAAAAACGATCAACGACCACCAATCTTGTTACTTTTTGTCAATACCTTTCTGAAAATATGGATACACAAATACAAACTGATGCAATTTACACAGATTTCAGTAAGGCATTTGACTCCTTTAATCATTACATTTTGTTACAGCTGGAAAAATTTGGAATGAGTACTTCGTTATTAGATTTATTCAAACCATATTTAAGGAATCGCTCTCAGTTTGTATAATTTCATGGTGTACGTTCCAAATATATTGTTCCAACTTCTGGAGTGCCACAAGGGTCAAATTTGGATCCGTTATTATTTGTTATATTAATTGATGATTTACCTGGGCTTCTTAACTGCAGAAAACTATTATTTGCCGATGGTCTTAAGCTATATTATAAAATCATTGCTATTTCTGATTGTACCAAGTCAAAAAGTTCGATTATGTTTTTTTATATTATAAAAAAATAACATTCTAATTTGTAAAATATCAATTAAAGATTTGGGAGTACTGTTTGATTCATAGTTAAATTTCTCCGAACACATAACACCAATAGTAGCCACCGCTTTCAAAACCCTAGGTTTCGTGTTTCGTAACTGCAAAGATTTCACAAATATCCAGTGTTTAATTGCACTATATAATTGTCTAATCACATCTAAATTGAATTATGGTTGTTTAGTTTGGTCACCTATGCATAAAGTATAGATTAAAAACATTCAGCAAAAATTTATAAAATATCTAGCGTTCAAAAAAGACGGATTCTATCCTCATACAGGCTTTAGTCAAAATATTCTCGTAGAAAAATTTCAGGTTACTTTTCTCGAACATAGACGTAATAATATATGTATATTTCTATTAAATTCTTACATAATTTAGTGAATAACAAAATTGATTTTAAAAACCTATTGTCTCAAATTAACTTTGAAGATTAGGTACAAGAAGTTCTATTTTTTTTTTATGTAGACACTCCTCGCACTAATGTTTTAGTTCGATCTCCAGTAGGTACATCTGATGTGATCTGATGTGTAACAACTTTCATAAATTCTGCTCAACTTGTGATACCTTCGAAGACAACTATACGACACACTTCTCAAAAATTGCGGTAAAACTTGAGAACTCGAGACACTGATGTAGAAATTACATTAATAAAACTTATTTGTTCATCCATTTCGAAAAGTTGATGACTTTGTCTCGAAAAATTGCGGTATAAATCTTATATTATTCTTTCATTTGTCTCAAACCAGTTAATGTATGAGCCAATTTATTTTATCTATTATCTCAGAAGCGGTTCGTTTAATTTCCTCGCAATACGGAAAACGGTATTAAATTAATGTATTTAGGCCTGATAAAAATTTGTTGTTCGACTAAAACACTCATTCTGCATGGATGAAGCACGTTGTGTATAAATATTGTACAAGAGGTTTTATTATACAGAGAAACTGTACTTCTGATTCAAATAAAGTTACTTTTTCGTGATAAAAGAGAATCACATTTAAAGGTGGATACGGACGATTGCCTATTTCCAGATCAAATCGGTTAATATTGCTTGTTTATTCACCTAAACGATGGCGCGCTATTGTATTATCGCAGATCGATGCATCCACCAAATCAAAACATTCATTTAGAAAACTGCCACAAACATACATTTCTAGAATATCGTGTGTTGTAATGTTTCGTGCCATGGTATCAGCACGCAAACCTCCGTGTATAATGTGTCATTATGCAATATTGCATAGATTTCCTCTCTACAAAAAGGTGCTAGCTAATAATTTATTCAAAATTGCGCTATTTGTACATTGATTTTGGTATTTACTGACAAGCACACGTTTGTAATTTGTGTGTCATATTAATATGTTATCAAAAACTACACTAATTTTCAGAGAAATTGATTTGAAAACTGGCTTTCTCATCAAATTTTTAAAATAAATATATTACAAAATAGAGTATTCCATCTAACGACAGTAAGCAGTTGTATACGTCCTCAACGAAGAATACCTTAAACATTATTAACTTATCAACTTTTTAAAAAATCATCTACAGTCTGTACCACCGAGTAGATGGTACTCATTTGCCACATTGTTATTTGACAACTAATTACGATAAACATCTGGTACTATATTATAATTTAATATATACCTGTATATGGTAAAAATATACCTTTTTATTGCTGAAGGTGAGTTATCTTTTAACAGTAACAACCATAAATTATTATGCGATAATCAGCACGCAATGTTTATGTCAAATGTATCATTATGCAGTCCTGCTTTTCAGATTTTTTCCGCACAGTAAAACAACTAATGGTTTATTCATTGCAGATCGTGTGCCAGCAAAGTGCTACTGGTTAATAAATTAAATACGCAGTCATCAAATTTTGTAGCGGATAGATACGCAGTACACTGAATAAATATAATAACAGCTACTTGTTGATACAGATGATGTGATAATCCACACAATTTGCAATGAAGAACCCAAATAATATTTTTACAAATTTTTGTTTGTTGTTTTAAAACACGAATGTAGTTGCACCGGTACCCTTCCTCAGAGGGACGTATCCGAGTTGTGCCCGTTACCTGTGTACTCGAGCTCAAAATGTCCGAATTGCCCACTTTTAACTGTAGGTGAATGTTCCGAGTTGCGCCCGCTACCTGGAAATCTCACACCTACCTCCATGAAGCAAGTAAAAATGTTGTGGACGTTTTTTTTTTCATAATTTCTAAATATATATGGTGCTTTTCTTCATTAAAGAAAATAAAATTTTTATATAAACACAAATTGCTTTAGTACTTTGAAAAGGTAAAAATATTAGGGTGACAAAAAGTAAATGAATCATTATATTTCGCGAGGAACATTTTGCAAGCGTTTGTTGTTGTTCCTCAAAATTTTCACTCTGTGCCCATATGATAGGAGGAAACAACACCCCATTAGCATTGATGTAGAGTATATATAAATAGGTGCCCGAATTTACAATCAGACTGAGGAAAACTTGAGTCCCTAAAACATAGCAGGTTAACACAATTTACCTACTAATTGAACTCAGTATGTTCTACATGTACATTTTAGGTAGGTCTAGAGTAATATTACTTTAAAAATGGCACCTCCGTAAAACTACTATTTCTATGTTCATTTATATCTATCTCATTCAAGCGTCCTATATTGATGTGACAAAACACTGGATTTTCTAATAGAGAGTATTTTTTACCTGCATTAATTGGGTCTAAGAATACGGTAAGGAAGCAATCAGGTAGTGGGCGCAATTCGGACATTTTCCGAGCGGTAAAAGGGCACAACTCCTATCTTTTTCAGGTCATGTGCGCACTTCGGACTCCCCCCCCCCTCGGAGTCGAGCAATAAAGCAATGACCAGCGGAAAATATACCCTTTTCTGAAATCACCTAGAAAGCGGGTCATGTCAACACTCAGTTTGATTTTGAAAGTGTCACTTTTCAGTGGCAAAGCTTGCAAAGATTTTTGCAGTGACTAAGCATTTTTACTTTATAAGTAATTGATGGGAATCGTTGCTTATTAATGTTTTATTTTCGATACTGACAAAAAAAAATTGGCAACAATTAATTGTAGGGGAGGAAACACATTCGTAAAAATTTACAATTTTTTGTTGTGACAGACGTATATCTTAAATTTTTTAAAAAGCGACTAAAAAATACATTACACAGCATAAAAGTGTTTCTGCTATACTCGGGGGCTTTGAAAAAGTACTTGGACGCTTCGCGTCCTCTTATTCTTCAATAAACGTCCTCGCCTGCAGAATTTCACTTTACTGCGTGGTAGAGATATACCGACTATAGTCGGTCGACTAGTCGGCTTTGTAAAAACCGGTTAAAATTGGTTTAATCGACCGAAAATTGGTGTCAAAGTGTAGATAATCTTCCGCTAGTTACGATTCTGAAATCGCCGTCACGATATCTCTTTTAATAACCACGAAAAATGAAGTCAAAGTTTCCAAAAATTTTCCAAAAAAGTGGTTAAAATTGGTTAAGTATTGTATAAACTGCCCTAAATTGTGTTATTCTTTATTTTTGTACTGAGTTACTACAAAAAATTAAATGTTAAAATTATCCAAACAAATTTAACACATTTTTTGGAAAACAAAGAAACTTTAGTTATTCCTTTTATTAAAATAAAACAAGTTTTTAAGGTAGTCAGAGAAATAGAAAAAAAACTCGGTTGTCTGCAAAGTCGGTTTACTGACGATAGTTGAACGTGACAACGTCTTAAGAAAATACTGATGGAATGGTTTTGGGCTTTTGATTTTGAAGCAGCGATTATTGGCTGCGCGAATGGCGTTGCTAAAGTAAATGCTACAGCATCTTGAACCTCCATGGGTTCACTCATTGAAGGTAAAGGCTTATTCGTAACATCCTCTGGTTTGTCAGGCTTTTTTTCCATGGTGCGTTTGTAAGCAGTTCTGCAAAATAAATCGTCGTTCGAAACAATTTAAATAAAATTCTTAAAATATTATCGTTGTCACGTCAAAATTGACACTACATTCACTTTTCACTGCACTTGATACTCGACCAAAACATGTAAATGTACTATAATATAGCAGCTGTCCACGCAGACGCATCGCTCACTCAAGTAGGAGAGAGACGGATGGCGAACGTTGCCGAACGCGAAGGCCGATTGTGCCTCTTTGTCGCTCGTTCCGCGTTCTCGCTTGCACTTCAAGCCTTACATGGGACGCCTCAGAGCGATGTAACGGCGCATGAGTCATGCTTTTTCGAGCGTGCAGCCGGCTCCATCGATTTATAAGACGTTGTCACGTCAAAAACAACACACTGTCTGTTGCATTTATAAACCGGTTTTAGCAAAGCGGAACAGCCGGCCGACTATAGTCGGTACATCTCTACTGCGTGGTTATGAAATATCCTATTTCAGCAACGGGTTTGCACCTTGCAAAACAGTCGGCTGTGCTTGGCATTTGGCGGCGTAGCTTCGGCTATTTTCATTCAGGCTTCCGTGTATACTTGTTATCTATTTTTGTCTAATTACAATTAGACAATAATAATTATTATTATTATTTGTATAAATTTAAACACAGCTACAGGATCGTGGCGTGTTATTTGTGTGAGTGTCCCACCGCTTTAGTACTGATTGACATCACGTGGATACACTGCAGCGCATTTACCTGGGCCACTTATCAAAGCAGCTCAACGTATATTTTGCGAAAGTCATTGATAATAAGTCAAACATTAAAAATGAAAAATGTATTGAACAACCTATTTGAAAACTGAAATGAGTTTCGCCTCTGATATGGTTGACATACTGAGTTAACGTGTTCTTTTGCCTTATTCCTAATTTCTCAACCCTGCTCAAACTTCTAGTATGGGTCTATCTGTATGTATTTAATCAATGGCTAGTGGCATTATTTGTGGTATCAAGAGAATGTGGACTACAAAGTCCACAACCCCATGTTTTGACTAAAGCCGTTTCCTTCATTGACATATAAGCAGGTAAACTGAGATTACCGCAGTTAAGATGATGGTTGTCTCCACAGTTTTTTCTACAATTAATGTAGTCTTCATTCCTGTGAATGTACAAGTCACATTTCTTGCATTTGATAGCCATTATGGCGGATTACAAAAAGAGTATCTCCAGCGGGTGATATTGGTAAAAAGTTATAAGAACGATAATAAAAAGTACCTTTCCAAAATCGACCTTAAGTACGACTGCTTAAGAAACAAATACAATATAACGCTATTCCAGCATCCCAAACAGAACTAACTCACCAGTGAAGATGTAGGCGACACTGACAGTCAACTTCCTATCTCAAAATAAATTTATTTCTTGAAACTACTACAGTTTTAAGCACAGTCTTGCATGCACACTACACACCGTAACACCAAGCGATATGAAACTACCTACTAATATAAAACTAATTTTATTATCTTCATACTGTATTTCTTCGTCTATATTTTCTATTGTTACAACTGCGGCATTTCCTACTTCTTTTAAAACTCGGTTTTCCATGTGCAATTAATTAGATGCTTTAACTCTATTGCCAACAGATAAATTATTAAACTCAATGCAGTCTTTTTTATTCTATCTATATTAATAAAAATGAATCGCCGAAATGTATGTACGCCCATAACTTCAGAACGACCGCACCGAATTGGACGATTCTTTTTTTTACGTGTTCCTCATTGTCAGGACAAGGTTTATATGTAAGAAAATTTATAAAAAATAAGACATCTAAAAGATAAACAAATTTTAAAATTTTGCATGGGAATCGCCATTTCGAATGAATTTGAATAGTTGGCGTTCCTGACGGACCTGTCGCCTAACTGACGTGTCATACAAAACTATTTCTTCCGTGCGATTGTGAAAAGTATTATGGCATTTCAAGTCGTTGTTTGTTTTTTCGTAACAAAAAACGTCGTTTATTTTAAGAAAAGTGTTCGTTAAAGTGAATTTAGTTACGCATTGCGAAAGTTTCTTATTAATTTTGATCTGCCATTCTATTTACCTATATTCATTTTGTTGGTTTCGACAAAATCTCAAACTTTACCGTTATTTGAAGATTCAATTCGAAGTTTTCAGTATTTTAAAATTCTCAAGACAAAATTTACAGATTTGATTGACTGTGAAAATAATTCTGTGTCGTTTTATGAAGTTCATTACAATGCCGAGAAGACGACAAGCTGACATAGGTCCACGAAGTCAATCAAATGTGCGACGAACTACCTCAGGTGCAAATCCCAATGATTTACTTCATGGGTAATTCGGATACGGAAGTTGATCAGCGTTGTGCTCATAATCAACATCATCAAACATTGAAGCGAGACATTGGGTGGTATGAATAAAAGTGAGTAGATACTCATATGCGAAGTACGAAGTACCTAGAAAGAGTAATAATCTTATATACCTGAGCATCTACCCGATGTACTGTGTATCTACTTGCAAACATTGTATCTCCCCGGACACAAATTGAACATTTACGCGTTTTGTGAGCATTTAATCTAAAAATGAGCATCGGCGTGGCAAATGACTATTTGTCCTAATAAATAATAAATTAAATGTAATATATTTTTTTTCCTTAAGAATATAGAGTTAACAAAGTTAGTTGAGCTACAAAAGTCTCGTTTGCTCCACGTTGGCCACCAACAAGCGATTTTCATGATTTTTGTGAAACTTTGCTGGTTTTGAATTTGAATTTTCTGTCCTCGATAGTTGATGCTCAGCAAGAACCACGGGAAGGTCTGGAGCAGATCTCGCTAGGAAAGGAGAGGGCTAGGAATTGTTAATGAGGGATAGAACGTTATACTGTACAATACAACGGAAATACAATACAGGTACCTACAATCTAGCTACAATACAGAATACACTACAGA